AACTTTTCGCATATTTACTCACTCTACCGCTTTTTTGTTTTGTTTCTTTGCCTGTTTTACTGTTTGTTGTTGCCTGGTGCACTTTGTTGAACTTTACTTTTGTATACTGCTGTTTGATTGTTTGTTTGTATGTGTGTGTATGTGTGTGTGTGTAGTATGAAAATAGTAAAGATGATTTCTTTTGTTTGCTCTGCACTTAGAAACTTTCAATTGAATTGAAGGCAGCAAGTACTACTTATATTTGTATGCATGTGCATATAGCGTATGTGTGCATGTATTATAGATATTTATGTGTATGGGTACATATATATGTATGTATTTGTGTGTACTATTCTTGACATACAATAGTTATTATTCGCCCTCATATTGCCATTGTCTTTTACTTACTTTGCTCTATCATTTAGCTGCACTTTTCACTCAAGTGTTTGCTATTGAAATGCAATATGTGTGTTTATAAGTGCTTGTGCGCGTGTGTGTAGGTGTGTGTGTGTGTGTGCGTGCACAAATGTTTTTGTTTACATTTTCTGCACATTTTACGTTGCTGTTTTATTTGAAAGGTGAGCGTTTTTAGAGTTTGATTTATTGTTAAAACTTTAAAGATGCATTGAAAGTGGATGACACTTGAAAAGGCCAAAGGAAGGGACGCAATTAAAACTTTTAATTATTTAAACTGAATTAAAAAAAATGGAAATTCACATTTTTTTTATAAACACACAAATGCGTGAATGAAATTATTTTTTGTTAAGCGAAACATTTTAAGATTTTGCTGCAAAATATCATAACTTGGGCTGTAATGGGTAACTTGTGCTCATCACTTGTCACTTGTCACTTGTCACTTGTAGAAATATCTACGGAGAATGATATGTGAAACAATTAGCTGTTCCCTGTAACGCTTCGCTCTGGCACATACTGAATGATTTTATGAAAACTGGAACAATGGGTTACTTTCCATCACAAGTTTATTTACTCTCTGGACTCTCTTTTGGTTTTAACTTCAGGTACGCAAATAAAAAGGGTTATCTGGAGCACGTGAAGTAGTCTTTATCCAAATGAAGACCACATAATTTCATGCATTAACCGAAAACTTTTTATCAATAATATCCAGCGGATTATATCGGTTGGAATGATAAGGCTTCGAGAAGAGCGGACGTTTCACCTCTGAAAGGTCCGAGCAGAATTTTTATTTATATTACGTTCCTCAGTAATTTTTTTGCTTTAAATCCTATGCCGTGGTAGTATTGCGGTTAAATAATAATACAGTATTTACTAGAATTATAAAGGATATGCCTATAGTCCAATTTAGAAGCTGCGGTGGGACTCACGCTAAGTCCAGAGAATTAAAAAAAATCTTCTGGAAAATTGACTGCTTCATCTGTTTCCCCAACGGTGTCTATTGACATATAGTATGTGAGGTTGAGATCGCAGACATCTTAATTCTTTGCACCGCAGATCGATTCCTTACTCAACCATCCATGTTTCCAGTCATTTAATAGGTTTTATACTTGTCTCCACAACAGTGAGTTGCTGATGTCGATCGAGGAATAACAGGCTCTCAAATTTTTCTGGAAACTTTTCGAGTTATGCGGATCTTTAAAAACGATATTAAGGCGTCTATATACGGGGGGATTAGCAAAAGTTCGGTAAATCGACCAGGAACAAACAAATATTTTTTTTTTGTTTATTGGTATATTTATCTCTCAGTGATTTACCCATTAATTTCAATGCATTTCTGAAGCCTATAAATCCACTTTTGAGAACGTCCTTCGAACTTTTGCAACTCCATTTAAGTTTTTTTGGAATTTTTGGAAATAACCAGATATCATTTTTGTTTTCATCGTTATTTTAACAGTGGGGGATGGCGCGTGTCATGATGTTAAAAGAAAAGCCGATAGTCTTCTTTCGTCCTGTTTTCCAGCAAATTTCTTAAAACTTTTGGTCAGAAATCTTCGATGTACCATTCTGTAATGACCGCCTGACCCTTTCCCAGTAGAAAAGCTACGATTTTAGATACGATTTTAGATGTTTATATTTTACGGTTGGGTTTGCTGCTCTTGGGCTCCATACCATGGACTGCTGTTTGGTCTCTGGATCGTACTTATTGACCCAAGATGCGTCATGAAAAACGACTTTCATAAAGTTGCTAGACTAACCGTTTTCGTAATTATTTAGCGAGCAAAATGAGCAAAATGCACTCAATCCTCTTTTTGGGCCTCACTCAAAGTTCGTAGTACTCATCAAACAGATTTCTTCATGTATCCCAGATGATTACTTAATAATCGCGATACAGCCATGGCATTCGAGCCCAATTCATTAGAAATTCTTTCTTTTGTCAAACGTTGGTTTTCGTCAAATTTGGACTTCACCTTCTCGCGGCTAATCTTCTATTGAAAATGTCCGGTCTGTAATATTTGGAACCACCAAGAAGTACTCTTTTAAGACAATTATTTTTATTGGCTGTAAATTATGCCGAAACCCAAGTTGGTGTTGAAATTTCGTCTCTCCTATCTTCAGCTACTTTGCGGTTTCTCATGTCCATTTTAGCCGATCGTTTTAAAATTTTAAGGGAAGAATAATAAAGTATTTTATTTTTGGATTTATCAAGAACAAGTTGAAAGTCACCAATTGACTGAACTTTTGTTAACCAGGTCGTATACTCGTATATAGATTGATCAATCCACACCTTAATATGCGAAAGTCACTTCTCGGCCGCTCAGAGTTGTTCCCGAAAAGTCACTATGAAGTTTTCAAAGTTAGCTTCGGATGTAGACTCAGGCACACTCATGAAGGAAGTGCGTGTACATTTTTTTTTTGCATTGGGTCACCAATGGACCGAGTTTCAAATAAACCGAACCATAGAAACAATCTTACGAAATATCAAACAAATCGGACTGTAGTTTTTTGAGGACATCAGATCTGTAAAAACAGTCTTTTCATATAAGATGTCCTATGAGCACTTCTCAGCATAACACCTTACTTGGTGAATCACCTGTTGGATTAGTACGTTTTATTAATTTTTTTTTATGGAACTCGTTAGGTTCAAAATGCTACACCAAGAAATCGTCCATCTTTGATTTCATTACATATACGGTTCACATGTTCAAAAATGCCACGTTTTTTACGAAATCTCATGAGATGTCCAGGAGTTATATCACTTTCATGCAAAAAGAGAACTTTTTCATAACAGCTCTTTTTCGAAAAGCTTACTCCATAGAAATTCAAGTAACTAGGTTTGGCTTCTTGTCAACTGATGTACGTATTCTCAAGCATGCTTATATGCATAAGTACGATTATCAGGTGGACAGTGAAGCAATAAATTCAGGGTGCTTTGCAATACGTTCAAAAGTTTTGTATGATTGCTTGTCTAGACGCTTAACAGTATCACATATAGCTGAAATACGCCAGTTCCTATACCACTTAGCTCGGTTTTCGTAACCATTTGGACCAGCTTCTCGTTCCACCATTTTTGAAGAGTCACAGCGCTCAAAGAAATTCCCGCCGTAACAATGGAATGGTAATCTCACAGCATCTTCATAAGGGAAGGATTTATCATTTCGCACTACTTCCAATTTCTCACCCGGAGTTCACCTTTCAGTTCCAAAGTATTTATCAACTTAAAATAGGAATGGGCATCCCGCCACTCTCCTAATTTTTTCATATGGAGTTAACTCCCAAACTCTGTTAAGAGACAAATAGCTCGATGAACAGATTCAAAGGAATTACTCAACGTCATCTTTTCCTTATACTAAACATCCTCTGCTTTCTGCTCCCCATGCCTAGACACGATCCAATCACTGATTACTCGATGTTTTTGAATCTGTCGCAAAGGTCAATAGTAAGAAGGAGCAAGCTCTAGAGAATAACGGCGGGTAGGGTAAGACCGTTTTCAGGCAGTTTTTGGCCATAACATGCCGACCGTTGCCACGTTTCACAATCACCATTTCACGCTTATTGGTCTTCCTGATAATTTTTCACGCAATTCATGAATAAAACGCATTATCCGCAGTCGGTAATGTTTCAGTTACACGATGAGATGAGAGAGGTTTTTCAACAATAAGTCCTGGCTTTTCCGAGCCCCAAAAGTAACAGTATAGCTTATTGACGGTGCAATTGAGGTGAAAATGAGCCTAATCAATCCTGATGATTTTTCGATAATTTTTATGCATTTCAAGGACCCAATCTGTAAAGAGACGAAGTTGTTGACGATCGGTTGGCTTAATTTCTTATTGGAACTGAACTTTATAAGTCGTAAGTCCCCGGTCCTTATCCAAAATACGGTGTAATAACATTTGACTAACGCCTAATTTCAAAGGGCGGGGAAGAACGGACAAGCCTGGGCTTTCTTCAACACTTTGGGCTACAGCAGCAATATTCTCAGCTGTGCTTGAGTGACGTGCACGTTTTTTATTCTTCACATCAGTAACTCATACCAACAGCTCCACTTTCTTCATCAAATTTCTGTATTGCGGACGGGCAAGGTGCTACAGGAGGTCCAACATTTATTTTCTTTTTATAACCGTCTCTGCTCGGTCCTCACCATTTCACCAAGGGTATATTTTTCCATTTTTATTAATGCCAAAACTTTTGATTATGTTTTGTTAAAAAATTACAGCTTCCATCGTGACATCTACCGGAATTGCAAGCTGCTCAAAATAACACCTTTTATTGGTAAATAATTAAATATAAAAATAATGTCCTTAAATTACTTATTAAAGACTACAAGTACAAGTTTCTGCTGCTTGAAATTTAAACTGAGGTACCATCGTTCCAGGAAACTTATTTATATTTTCTTAAAAAGTAATATTATTAAAAAAGTTAGATTTATAATAGTAAGACTTGAACTAAAGTTAATTATTCCACTCCAAAATTCATAATTAAAATTTTTTAAATTCAGATTAAATATTTTAGTAAAGCAACAAATATAAATTTAAATAGAACAAAGAAAATATATTATCTTAAATAACTTAAATTTACTTATTTATTTAAAACGTCATTTTATTGCAAGTCTAACAGCACTTTGCCCTTGGTTTCTCCGTGTTTTCCTCTTTTTCATTTGTTCAATGTCAGCATCACCATCAATGAAACCAGATTCGCATTTCGCGCCTCCCACGGCACCGTCATATCGTAAAAGTATCGTTGTATAAAAGTCCAAACATTCTCGCACATGGTTGGATACTTCAAATTGCATGTATGGTAAATCTTAAAACACAGATCCAGGGCTTGCAGGAAAGACTGCATGCAATAGAAATGATTCTCAAGCGCCACATAGATTTTCGAAATGGTACATTCATTGGGCATAATAACAACCAAAAAGGGGTGAGTAGTGCGATTGATTGGCCCATATTTACGATTATAGAACTCTACGCGTGATTCGTATGAGTCCAGTGAAGTGAGGCGCATAACGAATGAGTCAATGCTATCGGTAAGACTGGCGCGTATGCTCAGTTTGCCATATTGATCTTTGAAACGGCTCGTTGATGGCAACAGAGTGATTACACCGACGGCGTAAATGAAATCTTTTTCATCTGAAATATATAAAACAAAAATGTAACACATAAATTTGGAGCAACATAATTGTAAGAGATTTAATTTTTAGTAATTATTTCGATTTCAACAACCTTTGATACTTAGATAAACATATTTTCCGAATAGAACTGATACCTTATCAGAATTTTAAAGAGTTGCATATCAGTCATTTCAAGGAATTTTTCAGATCTCCTATTCATGCAATGTGTCAGTGGCTCGGTTTATTAGAGACTAACCACGCGAAGTTCTACTCCAGAAAATAAATACTTGTCGGAGGTTCAACTCACAGCGAGTAAGTAATTTTTGAAAACGGTGGTTAGTAATGCAACACTTTGCTATTGGCTGGTGATTCGTCATCTTGGTGCTTCGCGAATACTATATTCTGTTACTGGATTTCTTTTCTTCCTCCTCTGTGAAGCAGATTTAGCAAGCCACAAGTTACTGTCCCCTGCCTCGATTATAGTAATACTACTGAGTTTGTAGTTAGACTACACTATAACCTGCAGACTGGGCAAAGGATTCGTGAATAAATTGAAAAAGTAAGAGTACGAAAGGAAGCAAGCCTGACTAAAGTAGGCTCCACAATAGATTGCTTTTCACTGGAGGGTTAATTGCGTGTTGTTAACTCACCACTGAATTCATTCAATTCTTTCTAGTATATTCATTTCGTTTTTTTAATATATCTGTCTTCAAACTTACCTTTACTCGCCATGCCCATTTTGACGTGTTTGTACATCTTTTTCAAATCGTCGTGATGGAGTTTCCTATCAAAACGCGACGTCACCTTCTTAATGTAATCCTCCCATTTTGAAACCAAAAGGTGCTCCTTGTTCGGATAGACATGACGAAAATCGTTTTTAAACTGTTTTTGAAAAATAAACATTTTACCAAAACAACAATATTCCCTCATAACCACTCACAACCACTTACCAACTCAGCAGCACGTGGATCAGTTAACTTTGACCAGTTGTTGAGCAGCTCCGTTAGACCGCTCTGTTGCAACTCCTTCTGGCGCAACGCCCAAGTTTGTATCCATCTCTCACACACCTCTTCCCAAGTGAAATGATCTGTGGTTAGTAGTTGTTTCAGTGCCAATGCAGTCATTTCATCTACGCACGGCACAGAGCCCGGTAAACTCTGTTGATTGGCATAGAGAATGTCATCGTCATCCATTTGATTACTGTTGGAGCTCAAATTGCTCAAATTGCGTGACACATCAGCATTATTGTTATCATTATCATCATCACTTAAGCGTATCATGCGACGACGTTTGACATTCTCATTGGAGTAGCGTTGATACAGGCGACCTAATGGGTTGCCTCTGCCGCCACGATAAATAAAGTAGTAGTCCTGTGATGAGAGAGTGAGAGAGAGAGGGAGAGAGAGAGTAAGAAACATAGAGAAGAAGTATGTGAGAACCAGAATCTTAAGGTGAGCCATCACTTTTGAGTAGCAGTACACTTAATAAGAATGCAGACTTACCGACGCTGCCTGCTCGTTGGGAAATATGGTTACGATGTCATTCAAAATCAGACGCAGATCCTTCGGGCAAAGCGATACATCCTGTCGCATTACGTCGGCAATAATCAGGCGCACAATTTCATTACGCTGGCTATTTTCAAGGTAGCCGTATCTGCTATAAAATTGTCGGATGTGCTGTCCGGCATGGCAAGCCTGCAGCACTTTAAGTGTATCCTGAAAACAAGTGAGAAAAGTGCACAGTCAAGGGCAGAAGAGGTTTAAAATAAAATAAAAATCCCAAAATCAATTCGCTTCACTCATCTCCACCCACCACTTTATTGCTACTCATAATCAATGGTCCATTGGGTTCATAACCACCGCCGTTGCTGCCACTATCAACATTTTCACTGCAGCTCGCCTCCAGAAACTGTTGCTCGTCATTTATGCTTGTTATCGATGTTCTTGGCGTCACTGGGTTTGCTGTTGTTGTCGCCATTGATGGTGTTTTCGTTGTTGGGCTTAGCGTTGGTGTCGACGTGGTGGCTGCTCTTATCGTCCTTGTCGTGGCCTGCCGCTTAGGTGATTCACCGGCTTGTGGCCCGAATGCATTGAAAGCATCGCACAAATCCACCGACGACGGCTCTAATACAACAGCTGGCATATTATTTGATGTAAGTGATGTGGTAGCCGCGACGCCTGGGAGTAGGCTTAAAAAGTCATCAGCCGGTTCCCTACTGCGGTGGATAATGGTTGCTGAACCAGTCGTTGTTGTTGTGGCTGTTATTGCATTGGCTGCAGCTGCAGAGCCGCTACTGCTTGGCATTACTGGGTGTGTTGCTATGCCACTGTGGGACGCCATATTAGCTTGCATTGTTTGCAAGTTACTTGCCACGGCTAGCTGTTGTGACTGCTGTTGGCGTGATTGTACGGAAATCGCCGGTGCCACAATGGATGTGCGTCGTCTTTTATTTGACGTGGAGTTTGAGGATATATTTGCTTGTTGAACTGTGCTATTGTTATCTGCCGCAGAGAACTGTTGGCTGGACTGTTTGGTGGAAGGTATGGATATTGTAAAAACTGGGAAAAACACCTGAAAATATTCGATTCACCTTTTCGCGGCGCCATGCAAGCAACTTCTCGCGGAACTCCGCTCGATAACCAATGTGGCGTATAACGGTATTAATGTCCTCTAAGGAGAGATATTTCAGGCTGCGATAGGTTATATCACTCACTATGGAAGAGGATTACATATGAAGAATGAAATATGAAAACATCTGTATTTATCGAATTACATAAATTTCATTCAAGTACTAGATCAGGACCTTGAGCTGATTTTTTACAAAAGTAATAACTAAAAATTAAATTAAAATTAATAAGGTACATAAGGAAGACTGAGAGAATTTCGCTCATATTTGCCATTTGGGCATAAAATAAACATTGAATGAAGTTCCCACTCGCTATAATGGGAGGAGTATTGATCTCTTAACTCAGCAGTGTTTGGGCCCTTGATAAAGATGGACACCAGCAAAGAGATGGGAAATTAAGAATGAATTACCCATATATGAAATTAGAAATAAGAAAACATATATGTAACCATAAAATTATGAAACTTGAAAATTTGAACATACAGAATAGAAATAAAGTTGATTCCACACAATAGACATGATATAATCAATGCTTATGAATTGATTGGGGTCCTTGTGGATCCACAGTGCTGTTATTTTGAAACCAATATATTCGACTTCTTACTGTCATGAATCTTCTGGGGAAGAATATGAAAAAAATTAAGATGAACTCGCAAAAGTCTTGAGTGTGGAAACCCTTGACAAGATTAATTTTCGCCTACTTAATTTTTGTTTGACAAGTAGACTGCACACTGCAGTCACTATTTGATGCACAAATAGTCTCTTCCCATAGAAACTGCAGATAATAATAATATAAATATATTTAGGCTGGTGGAAACTATTTTAAAATAATTTTCCATAAAAACTTTGTATTTAAACTAATATTGTATTCTAGGCAAGTGACAACTATATCCTAAATGAAATGAGTTTTAGGATAACATCAAAAATTGAAGCGCATCGGTTAAGTTGAGTTGAAGTTTACAAGCTACATATTCATTCATCTATATAAGAAACAAAGCTATATACTTATGAACTGACGTATCTAAGGAAAAGAAACCCAAAGCCTTGATTACTCTCAAGTGTTCTTTAATGGGAAATATGTCACTGACCAGCTTGTTAACGTGCTCTACAAAATTATTGCTGACGTTACGGACATTCAGGGTATGAAGAAAACAATCTCAAGCTGATTGACTACATCGCAGTTGGAACTCGGCTTTCGAGTACATGAGAAATTTGCATCCAATGCACTTTAAGAAGTCTCAACATCAACTCAGGCTGTCTTTTCACAGTCCAAATAGGCACCTACACCACACAAAGCACCTCTATGCCTCAATTGCACTCTTTCTCTTGCACTTGCTCTTTAACTTGAATATGAATCAAGAGAATGATCACAAACCAGTTTAGGCATACCACGTATCGTCGCCAAGGGAAGGAAGACCGTTTATAATGTGAAACTCAAGTCCAGTATGACCAGTAGTGACCACTTTGTTTAAGTTAAATTGTTCAGATAGACACTCATATTCCAGATTTGATAGTTTTGAATACAGTATCAAATAGTAGAGGAAGAAGTAGAAGAGAAATATTTCCAATGCGTTTAAAAGATTAGTTGGAGGAGGAAGACCCATTGTTTAAGGGGTAAAGCAACACTGAAGTTTAACTATAGACTAATTTTTTAAAATTTATTGTGGGATCATAGGAAAAGGAACAGAATTCCTATTTAACCATTTTACTGTACATATATTGAAGTATAAAAAATATTCCTTAATTATTATTTTGTTACAAAATGGGGATGGTAAAGTCCATTATTTAATCCATGTTTTTTTGAAAGCGTCCACGGGAGGACCGATTTGTTCTAAAGGATGAGACCTAGAACAGAAAATCGAAAAAGTTTAGGATCTACAATCTATGATATTTGGAAGTGAGTACGGACTTAATTTTTAACTAATTTTTGTGAAAGCGACACACATTTTTTTTTTTCAGATAAATTTTTGACAAAAAACTACGCACTAAATTATTAGAAAAACGGCTACGTTCTTCCAAAAATAATTCAGATAAATCGCTGAAATAGGGTTCAAATAATCTGTCCTCACCGTTTGGAAAATATGATTTTAAGAAAAGCGCGTTTAAAATTTTCATTGTACTCAACGCACGCTCTGAGGGGCTGCAGCTAAATAAACAGTTCAGCTATTTGAAATATTTTTTTCACTTTAAACCCAATTGCATATCATTTCTAGAACCCTTGCCTTGAACCTTGTGAGCAAAAAAAAATTGCGTTTTCCAAAATCCTACAGGGGCTTTACCCCCTCGATTGAGTAAAGGAAATTCAAGAAATTTTGCGTATGAATCAAACCAGGAAGCCTAGATTCGGACAAATAACTCGACATCATACATGCATTTTTACTGCCTATTTAAAGTACGCTCTCTTATTGATATTCTAAAATATCACGTCATACCACATATACCACATCACATCACATCACTTAAAGTCATACAACGCATCACATCACACCAGGAAAATACATATAGTATTACATAGTTACGCATATAAATTCCATTTCCAATATCACTTTGCCAACACATCGCATTAAAAAAATTTTTATCACATTAAATCACATGATCTTTCGTCACATCAACTTTAACAATTTCCATCAACATATCAACGCAACATGTTTGCCTACAAACATACGCACGACGAGTCCCTTTTCCATGCGAAGAAACATATCGAAATCGAAACGAATATGAGAAAAGCCGGTTTATCAAGTAAACAAAATGCACTTCTATGCGCATATTCTTACTCTCTCTCTCACTAGCTCTCTCAACTTATTCAAAGAGTATACCAGTTTGTAACCGGCAACGTTGTGCTGACGCAACTCCTGTAACCAGAATCGCATAATAGCAGCAGCAAGAAATCGCTTCAAAACTAAGCGAACAGGGCGTGAGTATCGTACATACATAAATACACATACCACCACACCCACACACATATATATGTATATTCCATACGAGTATGTAAATGCGAGCAGATACATACCTACTCAAAAACAGGTAAGTGAGCGACGCAGCGTAAAAGCGCCGGCGCCGGCGCAAACAATAACAAAGGCACAAATACACTCACACTAGACAACAGTAAGCTTGTATTGGTTTGTGTACATCTGTATGCGGCGCTGTGCACTCGCATACACTCGCATACATACGACTGATAGGGTGGTAATCGTTTGCCAAAGGCAAAATGAAAAGCAAAGGCATGATAAGAGCAAAAGCAAAAACAAACAAAATTGGCATGAGGGAATTTTTTCCAAGTAAACGAGCTATGCATAAGCACGCATAGTACAGACATACACGTACATATACATATATGTACGTACATATTTCGGTATATTTTTATGTTACTGAAAAAAAAAAAAATGTTTTTAATAAACAAACATACAAATGTGAGGATGTATTTATGTGCTTTGTTGTGTAGGTGAATATGTGCATTTGTTTTTTGTGAGGTTGTACGTATGTATGGGTGTGGACTTGTGATGGTTTTTATACAGGATATTTTTGTTATTGTTTAGGTTGCTGATTTTTTGTAATTGTTTCTGCTTAGGCAAGTGAGTAGACATAATATAGTATATATGTACCTACATACATATGTATACAAATGTACAAATGTATAAATAAGTAAATTGACATCAGAAAATATGCAAAAACACATATTTTTCTTTGCTAAAATAAAAGGTTGTTGTTTGCATACCCATAAATTTGCAAAACAGTATATATGTATGTGTATACACATGTAAATACATCCATGCAGGAGACTTATTAAAAAAATACATACATATATGTATTATACAGTAATTTTTAGAAAAAATTAAATAATCCAGAAAAATATGCCCGCGATTATGCATACATATGTATGTATTTATGTGTGTAAATTTGTCGATTTTCTCTTGTTTTTTACTAAGCTAAAAAATAATTATATTATGTATTTTTTATAACTATTATGCTATAGCATATAATTTACATACATACATAGCTACATACAATACATGCATAAATAATAAATAAATTGTAAACTTTGTTAAATGCATTTAGTTGCAAAACATAAAATAAACATTAAATTTTCATAAAAACTGCAAATTGAATCCTTTGATTAAACTTTCATTCAACTTTGGTAGGGTCGAAAGCATTCTTGCACCAAATAAAAAAATTTTAAAAAATTTAAAATTCTTATTCAAAACTGGTAGAGGTTAAAATCATGCCAACAAGGCATAATATGCGCGGTCCAGATCTCGGCAGTAGGAAATTTTCTAAAATATATTTTCCAAACTAATTTCAACACACAAATGTGTCATAAGGGAACTAGTATTTAACTAGTATTGGACTGATATATTATTGCTATTTCGATAGATCGCTGAACTAAAAGCAAAAATAGAAGCTCCGTCATATGAGAAATAAATATATTTCTGAACCACCCAGGCCAGCGTTCTTTGGTAGGACCCGAGTCCTATTAGAAGTAGCATACCTACTGGGGTTAGGTTGAGTTTTACTGATTAATGCCTTAAGTGTTCGTACTTTAGTCAAGCCACCGCGATCGGTGCTCATATTCGAGCATTGGAATTATAAGCATCAACTATTATCGAGTCTCTCTTCTGCCCAGTTTTTTTCCAAAATGTACTTTGTAGTTCAAAAGTGGGTGGAGCCACATATCCATTTAATAGGAACGTCCATAATAAATACCGCTTTAATTTTAAATTTAGTTTCTGAGCTATCGCGACTTTCAAACCTTTCAGAGTTAATGTTATAGGAGAGACGGCCGTGTGTTTTGCCCAAAGGATGGGCGGATGGACAAATAGACGGATCTTTTTGGGAATGTGAAGTCTACATCAAAAAGCAATCCGAAAGTAAATACGACATATTCGAAGCCAGCTTCGGAAGTTCAGTTTCTTTATAACTTTGACAGATATGTAAGTGTAAATTCTACAAAATTCTCATAAAGGGTGATTTTTAAGCTATTATCTTTTTGGCAACACTGGTTTGAACACGTTTCATATTTTGTATCACTGTCAAACACCTCCAGTTTGGTCTATAATTTAACCATGAGTCGTCTTACCAACGAACAACGCTTGCAAATTATTGAATTTTATTCATCGCGCGCTTTTTCCATTTAATGGTTAGTTTAATCGACCCAATGCATCCAGGAAAAGTCACAGTTTGGTGCGCTTTATGGGCTGGTGACATCAGTGGACAGTACTTCTTTAAAGATAATGCGAATCGTAACGTAACTGTGTAAGGTGAATGTTACCGTGAGATGATATCAAACTTTTTTTTTGCCCAAAATGCAAGAGCTAGACTTGCATGACATGTGGTTTCAAGAAGATGGTGCCACATGCCACACAGTACGCGTACAATGGACTTATTGAGAGGCGAGTTCGGTGATCATTTTAATTCAAGTTCGGGACCGATCAATTGGCCGCCTAGATCGTGCGATTTGACGCCTTTAGACTATTGTTGGGGCTATGTTAAATCTAATGTCAAACCCGCTTTAATTGTTGACGCATTGGATGACAACATTGAAGCTTTTATTCGTGAGATGCCGAAATATTGGAAAGAAGATTTGCATGAAATAATCTTCAAACATTAAAATATATGGACCGTACTATCGATTCAAATAAAGATTTCATGCATTTTTCTGAATTTCGTGTATTTTTTTAATCACTTTTCAATAGCTCTTAAAAAATCACGCTTTCAAAGCATGTGACCTCTCCTTTTGATCTTCTTCTCTTTCTCTACTAGATACTTACGTTTCAGTGTGGTATATAATATTTCCAGATCGAATTGTTTCAACCAATTTCTTAACATCAAATCATCACTACAATCACCATCAGCCGGCATTGCCAGCTCGCTGTAGTCCATTTGCTGACCGGAACCACTGCATGATGCTCTCACACTATTCGCGGCATCATTTTGCGAGTTCTGTGTATCACCATCACCGTTATAATTAGCAATAAAATCAAAATCAACTTCAGTCTTTATGACAATCTCCTCCGGTGATGCCATTTTACCACTGTGAAAAATCAATATTTTGCCAGGAGTTTTCTTCTTCTTGTTTTTGAAATTGGAAAATCTATTCTAAACACTTCTATTCACAACACTAAAGTACAGTTTGCACTGTACGAACGCTAAAGTGCGACTGGCAACTTTAGTCCAAATTATCGATTGCTGTCGCGCTACCTCCACTACATACGTGTATGTATGTATATATGTATTTATGTACACCAAGTCGCATTCGCCTATATATGTATACGTACACCGATATGAGGGTATGAGATTGTATGCGTAAACACCAACACAAAGTCAACAACAAAATTGCTTGCATACAAACATACGCGCTTATATGTACGTACGTATGTATGTATGTATGTATATATGTACAATACAAAAAAGAAAAATAACAAAGAAATTCCATCTATATTGGCGTACAACAACTGCAAGAATAATAACAACAACCATGTTAATAACAACAACTCAAGTCAGCTCAACGCCCGACCAGACCCAACCAACATCAGCGCACATAATAATACGAAATCTCCTGTCTGCCTGCTTCTCATACTTTCCCAACCTCCGCACCAACCAACATACGCCACTTGCATAAACACATTCGCCTATACAAACTTGTTTTTATATATACATATTTACTTATCCGTATATATGTATGTCTGCATGTACATATAAATTCCTCGTATACTTTTTGATTTTCATACGAAGCTCAGCATTCCACCTCATAACTGCCTGCAATATCACAACAGCCATATAAATATACATACATACATACACATGTACGCAAACATCCGTATAAGCATAGCCACATTTCGTACGTTCGCATCTCGCTAGCATAGTGTGAGCACATATTTTGTACATTTGTGTTGGTGGTGGCAAACAGCTTTTTGCACAGGCGCCACTCGCTCCTGCTGTTTCTCCAGGCAAAGCAAAACTCGTCATCATCATCATCGTCATCATCATTACCATTCATTCTTCGTGTTTCGTTTTTGATTTGGTGCTGCGCAGCAAGTGCCTCTGCGCAGTCCACAGATATACGAGGTGATTGTTGTTGCTTGTTGCTTGTTGGTTGCTGGTTGTTGGTATAGGGCTGCCAACCATTGGTATGAAAGCCTTGTTGTTCTTTTTGTTGTTGTTGCTGTTAGTGTAGCTGTTGTTATTTTTCGTTTTGATGGAAGGTGAATTTCAAAGCGAATGCGTCTGAGAATGAGAGTGAAAAAGGAAAAGCGTAAAAGTGATGTTGCTATGCTTAGTGTTGCGGTGGCGTTGGTTATTGTTGGCATATAGTACACATGTACATACATACATATATCTACATGTGCATGCACTTACATACCTACCTACATATGTATGTATGTACACGTGTTTGTGAAAACAAATTTTTGTTCGTAGGTTTATTTGTTGTTATGTATGTATGTACTAAAACACATAGCTACTTACAATCATATGTACATGCGTATGTATGTATGCTTGTACAATTGTCTGTAGTTAAAGCTTAGAATATTTTTTCAGGGATTTCATGCGATATTTTTTTTTTTGCACAGGTATACATACGTACGTACATAGTATATCAAAATACACAAGTTTATTTCTATGCATATGAGGCGTATGAAGTGCATACATACATATGTACATATGCACGACTTTGCATGTCTACATACTTATTTATATATACACGTATATGTATGTGCCTTGATTTAGGCATGCAAATTTGTTGTTATTTATGCATGCAAATTTATGCAAATATACGATGCACATATGTACATATAGATGTATGTATGTACGTTCGAGTACGTATAATTGCTGGCTTGCATGCATGCATAAGTATAAACTATGAATTCGAGTTGAATAATGTCGAACTGAATTTATTTTAATACATGCATACGTACATACATACATATATGAATGTAAGTATATTTTTATATTTTATTCGTAAAAAATTGTGAAACAAAGTTTTTGTCTTTTTTTCCGGAAAATAATTCTTTTAAATGCTTATTGCAAATACAACTGTTTAAATGGATACATAAATACACGAATGCATATTTTTTTTACTTAGGAGTGTGAATTTTAATTTAAAAAGAACTTTATATTGTAGGGTGCCTTCAACGAACTGTACGCTCAGTAAACATGCTCAGTGAGCGCTCACCTTAAATCATCAAGATTGAATTCACTTCATTTTCACAAATAGGTTTTGCATTCTTGCAACTGAATCCAGCCAATTTTAGATAAGGCACTGAGTATATCGTAGAACTTACGATTTTCTATCATTGCCGTGCCGTAGCATATCCTGGCGAGCTACCAAAATGTGGCTATCCTTGAAGAGACCATTCATCAACACATTTTGTCTACACAAGTTGGTGGCAAAAGGTCTTTGTTACTTAACTGTTCTACGCGCTCTTCATTTCGGTTCTCTCTGAGCATAAATGTGACATAGCCTTGTTGCTATGGAATGAAAATGAATCGAAATGGACGCAACCACCTGTGGATTGTATTGGTGTTGTATGTGCAAATATTTATATTTGCTTACAAACAAATATTGGCTTGGCAGTTTTCGCTTTACCAGGAAAATGTGGAATATTTGAAATTGTGATGTGATGATCTCACATGCATGTATAGTTAATGCGATGTGCTGCGATTGATGTGATATTGGTATTCATGGTAGGCAAATAGGCACTAAGGTATGTATATATACGTAGATACGTATATATGTGCAAATATAACTTTACTTTCTAACCACGTTATATAATATAATATGTTGCGATGGTTTCGATGAGATTCATATGATTTTATTGCCACATCACGTGTGACATATCACGTGATGTGAATACTACAATACATTATCGGGACACTTTATATTTCATTCAAATATAGTGTTCTGACAAAATATTATCATAAAACACAAAACTCCAATTAGAGTTACCAGATTTAGTAGAGTGCCAATAGCTATGTTAAAAATCACTTGGAGTAAGAAGAATCTGGGAGTGCAACTGAAAGTAAAGTATTTGATGACGATGAAGCTAGTGATGCTTCTCAGAGGTAAAGCATAGACATCCAAAGACATCCAACATAGACGTTATACTTGTAGATCAGATGGATCAGACGTGCGAGATTTATGATGTATTCCGAATAAGCTTCCGCTGGCCCCAAAAGTATTTGACCATGTCGGCTGCGTAGCGTCAGGTGCCTCCTATGACATTGGGCAAAGACCTCATCTTTTTGAATCGTGCCTGGTGCTCAACTTGAACACATTTCATATTCTTCCCCAGCCGCTTTGACACAGGCAATCAGCACATTTAGTTTTTGTGGAACCGGTTCTCAAATCAAAGATGATCTTGTAGATAATACTATCATCGTACAAGGGACTTCAAAGACTTCTGGAACAAATGTGTTTTTTATCAAAACCAAATTCTTCGTACTCGTTGGGAGAAAAATACCCAAGTCCGGGACTAAAGTCAAACAGCTAAAAGGATAATAAGTAGGACATCTAAGGAGAAGAGGCTAAAAATTATCGAAGCACAAAGTCGAATGAGATACGTATGCTTGATCAGGAATTGTCCATCATGCCATTGTATGAAAAACTGATTAATTTATTACATATTGATTACATTGGTTACAGCTCAGTGCAACTATTCATGGATTCATAATTTATTTAAATAAATAAAACAAAAAACAACGTATTACCATTCTGCCGGCCAAGGTTTGAACCCTGGTCTGATCAAACATCCCAAATTATATAAAATAAGTTTTCTTAATATCGCTCGCCCCTCGGCAGAGTATGTGAATCCCTTCGAGTGTATTTCTGTCATGAACTTAAAACCTCCGACGAGTTAATTGACTTTACTTTTCCGAAAAAGATGGCTGGAGCAATAGTTACCATGAATGGATTGCGCCATCGAGAGATGATTTATGATTTGTAATTTTATGGTCGGATTTAGATAATATTGATCTGGACAATTTTTACTTTCAACAAGACCGCGCTGCGTGACACACAAGCAATGAAATCGTCCATCTCTTAAGGGGAAAAATTGCCGGAACGTGTTATCCCTCGTAGAGGTGTTTCCTATTGGCGACCGAGATCATGTGATTTAAGGCCTTTCAACTACTACCTTTAGGACCACTGAAATATAAGGTCCACGCCAACATGCCAACGTCGAATCAAAAACTCAAATATGGAATTCTTGAAGCTATTGAAGGTATACAACAGCCACTTTGCAATTTGGTGATGGAAAATTTCACAAAAATGATACGGTTCTGTGAGCTAGCCGTGGCTAGATATACACTAAATGTCACTCAAGTGGACTATTCCCCACACAACTTAATTTATAAATGAAACAAGATTTTCTTAGCGGCTTTTTACCTTCCTCCCTAAACCTTAGTCAAGTACATTTGTCTAGAAATTAAATCATTTCGTCCACCTTTTGTAAACAATAATTGTAATTTATTCTCAAATTCCACACCGAACAGTCCAATAACTGTTTACTCTGCCGAAACGGTGCTCAACCCTTGGTCGTCGACCAAATGCGGCCGCAACGCTTTGTAAGGAATTTCCCGTTGCTAACTCAAAACATCTGTAAACAAAAACTAAATTTTGTAAATAACAATTTCCTCAACGCTCCTGCCAGCCACGATGAGAACGATGGCGAACAGTCAAAGTGAAAGTATTTAATGTTAACTTTTACGGCACTTCAGCATTTCTGCTGAAATAGTAACAACAACAACAAAATCAATACGCCTTATTATAAAAAAAAAACCACAATTATTTCAACACAGCAAATAGTTCATCCCGTTATTACAACATACAATAAATAGTACGACTATGAAGGCTGTTGCGGTTACCGGGTAGCCGACACAAGACAACCAACCAATGCGCCAGCGGTGCCGATGGCGCCCGGGCGGAAGCGCGGGTGGTGAAAGCGCAGGACAATTCAGTGTTGGTTTCGTAGAAAAGCTACAATATCAACAAAAGCATGCTTAGCATTACGAAGCGCACAGCAAGCACA